AAATGATGTCCTGGATTTGTTCGAACACCGACGGTTCGAAGAGCGCCCCTGCAGGTGAACTATCGGCCGCGTTGCTGATCACTGGCTCGGGCTCTCTGGGGGGCCCCCACCTGCCGCTGCAGATCTCGGGAGTGCCGCCGAAGGTTTTTTTTTTCATGGTCGCAGCTGGCTTTTTTGGACAGATTTCTTCACTTTCTGCACTGGGGCCGTTTGCGAGACCGCTGCTGGCTTACGCTTGGAAGGAACTGCAGGGGATGGGGCGGCTTCTTCCTCTTCTTCCTCATCGTTATGTTCTGCCTCTTCCTCTTCTTGCTCGAGGTCTGGATCCTCTTGTTCCCCCCCTTCTGCGCCCTCCTGAGCCTCGTCGGCCCCGTCGCCCTCGGACTCATCATCGTCGTCCTGCTCCTTATTGTTCTTCCACTTCAGCTTATCATCGGACTTGAAGCCCGTCTCTTCGAGCCAGGGCGGGGTGCGCTTGCGGTTCCGCAGCGCGCTGAAGGCATCGTGTTTTTGGCGCAGCGCAGATCGGTTACTTATCTGAGGGGCGGCGGGGTAGTTCAGACAAGTGGACGGGGTGGGCGGTGGAGGGGGGGCCCGAAGATTACAATGCAGTGCGAACGGCGACAGTGCAGATGGCAAATGCAACTTGCAATTGAGGGGGGCGGAGAGATTCGAAAGGAACTAGACGAATTCGGAAAGGGCACGAGCGGCGGGGGGAGATGAAGAGGGGCACGGAGGTAGAAGGCGAAACCCTCCCCATGTACATCGAGCAAAAAAGGAACGATCCCGATGTGGTGCACCATCGTGCGGACTCTCTTGGACAACGTCCTGGTCCAGTCGGCGAACTGCGCGGGCGGGAAGCTCCAGCCTGAAGATCAGGGGATGGGGCGGCAGGGAAGAATCGAGGATGGGCGAGAGGTAACGCTTGCATTTTTTGTTGGAGGGCCAAACAATGGCCGCCAACGTAGTTTAGTTTATCTTACTCCATCCTCACCCATCCTCCTCGTTATGATCATTATCGTTATCCCCCGTCCCCCTATCGTTACCATCATCCAGGTAATCGGCATCCTCCTCATTGGCCTACTCCCGCTCTTCACGATCCCCCCCTACCACCCCCTATAAACTTTCTGTCCCACCTCTTCCACCTTTTTACCACTCCTCTATACTCCTCATCCCCCTCTCGTTCTCAGGGGGGAGGGGGGAAGGACAACGGCAACAAAAAGGGCGTCCTTTGGCTCTCGCCACTCGCCCGAGCGCGACCTTGCACGGGACGTCCTTGTTTTTGATCATGCCGAGGGGGTGGTTCCTCGCGTCGGGCACCCATCCAATCCCCTTCCTCCCCTAATTCCTCGATCATCCAATCCTGCTCGAGATCAGGGGCGACGGCGCCGCCGTTGATCTGGAGAAAAGCATTCCTCATGCAGAACGGTGAAAAAGACATTCTGCGCCTGCCTCTTCCTGCATGCCCCTCCCCCGTTCCCCATCCCATCCCCCGCTCCCCATCCCTCCTGATCACCATCCCCCGCCCCCCACTCCCCGCCCCGCTCCCCACCCCCCCCACTTCCCTGCGCGCAAAAAAAAAAAAAAAAAAAAAAAAAAAAAATCCTTGAGAGCTCGAGCCACATGGTCGAGTACCTCTTGATCGTCTCCTTGTCCACCTGGGACGGGAGGAAGAAGAGGAGGATGATGATGATAATTGCCCTAGGACGGGAAGGGGAGGAGGAGGGGGGGGAGGAACGGACGGACGGACGGACGGACGGACGGACGGAGGAGGAGGACGGAGGGGGAGGAAGAAGAGGGGGAGGAGCAACTCTCATGGCCCTGATTTTTTTACCGCGCCACCAGAGAGCGCCGCATCTCTTCTCCGTACGAAATGAAGTTCATGTCAACTGCATATGGTGCCAAGAGCTTTGCCAGCAAAGCCACGGAATCTGGAGCGTTTTTGACGATGCTCCTCCCTTCTCCTCCTCTTCCGCCTCCGCTTCCTCCTTATCCTCCTCCCTCTCCTCCTTCCCCTCCTCCCTCCTCATTATCCTCCATCCTCGTCCTCCTCCGCCCCCCCGTCGATGTGCTGCGGTGGCACGCCGAAAACCTGTTGGAGATGACAAGGCAGAGAGAGAGAGATGTTGAGAGCTATAAGATGGAGCCTGATAAGAGAGCCATACACGCAGAACAAACAACAAACATATAAATAGCATCATTTGTCATCTTGATGTAATGCAGGCTCCGAGTCCATGGCGCCGCGCTTCCGCGCGGAAGAAAGAGCGCGCTCAGCCCTCTTGAGGGCGGAGCCCGAACCGAAAAACGCAGGGTCCTCCTCCTCCTCCTCATTCGCCTCCTCCTCCTCCTCCTTCGCCTCCTCATCCTCCTCCTCCTCCTCCTCCACCCCTCACCATTCCTCCCTCCTCCTCCCCCGCCCGATCCTCCTCATTATCTTTCCCTGACATCATTAGATCCATCTTAGCACCTCTTCATATTGTAACTTTTATGCCGGTGCCAGATGGCGGCAACGTCAGTGCAATTAGCATTACAAACATACACGCAGACATGATATTGAATACATGTAAACGCGTGGCTACGCATGCATGTTATGTTAATTATATGAAAAAATGCATACAGATACGAATGATGCACACACCTTTGTTTTTCATGTAAAAATGCCTACAAGACCGTGCGCGCGATTCGTGCTCATCCGATCCTCTGGGGATGGGTAAGGGTACCCAACGGGCACCTGGCAAATACCCATCCGGCGGCCGCTGGATGGGTAGGGGTACCCGGCCAGCACCCGGCAAATACCCATGCGGCGCCAGCCCTGAGGGGGGGGGGGGCGCTCAGATACCCATCCGGCAGCATACCGATCCGGCGCTGGATGGATAGGGGTACCCAACTGGCACCCGGCAAATGCCCATCCGGCTGCCATAGGGGTATCTGGCCGGCACCCGGCACATACCCATCCGGCGGCAGCCCTGACGGGGGGGGGGGAAGCTCAGATGCCCATCCGGCGGCATACCCATCCGGCGCTGGATGGGGTACCCAGCCGGCACCCGGCAGATACCCATCCGGCGGCCGCTGGATGGGTAGAGGTACCCAACCAGCTCCCGGCGGCCGCTTGGTGGGTAGTAAGGGTACCCAACCGGCGTCCGGCAAAGAGGTACCCAGCCGGCTCCCGGCAGATACCCACCCGGCGGCCGCTGGATGGGTACTCTGAGTACGTTCTGCTCCCCCGGACTACAGGGGCCCCCCGGCTTTCAAGGGCCCCTCCCCCGGACTACAAGAGCCCCCCCCCCGGACTACAGGGACCCCCCCCGGACTACCAGGACCCCCCCCCGGACTACAAGGGCCCCCCCCCGGACTACAGGAACCCACCCCCGGACTACAATGACCCGGAAGCAAGGAACAAAAACTTGACAAGGGACAGGAAACGAGGAACAAAACTTGAAAAGCGAAAGGGGGCGGGAGCCCCCTCCCCCCCTCCCCTCGGCTACAAGGGACCCCCCCCCGGACTTCAAGGGCCCCACACGTTCCTTCCCCCCCGGACTACAAGGGCCCCCCCCCGGACTACAAGGGCCCCCAAAAAACCCACCCCGGACTACAGGGGCCCAATTAACCCCCGGACTACAGGGGCCGCCCCCGGACTATTGTGCACCCCGGATCTATTGAGGTACTCAGAGTATAGGGATACCCAGCCGGAGCCCGGCAGATACCCATCCGGCAGCAACCCTGAGGGGGGGACTCAATTGGATCCCAGCAGGTGCCCATGCGGCGGCCGCTGGATTGGTAGGGGTACCCAGCCAGCTCCCAGCAGATACCCATCCGGCGGCATGGGTAGGGGTCCCCAGCCGGCTCCCGGCAGATACCCATCCGGCGGCAGCCCTGATCAGGGAGGGGCGCTCAGATACGCATCCACTGGCATACCCATCCGGCGCTGGATGGGTAGGGGTACCCAGCCGGCACGGCGGGATACCCATCCGGCGGCAGCACGGGGGGCCGGGCGCTCAGATACCCATCCGGCGGGATACCCATCGGGCGCTGGCTGGGTAGGGGTACCCAGCCGGCACGGAGGAATACCCATCCAGCGGCCGCTGGATGGATAGGGGTACCCAGCTGGCAGGGCGGGATACCCATCCGGCGGCTGCTGGATGGGTCGGGTACCCAGCCGGCACAGCGGGATACCCATCCGGCGGCCGCTGGATGGGTATCTGGCTGGGTAGGGTGGACGCCAGAGAGGATACCCAGCCGGCGGCGGGAGTACAGTATCGCCAGCTGCAACTTGGGGAACCCACCGATACCGCTAACCCCTCAGACCTCTCCCGGAGTCCTTTCTGACCAAGACTTCGAAATGAATCCAGCGGTGGCGACGAGGAAGTCCCAGGAGGCCCCCCAAAGGGGAAAACGGGCGATGGGGTAGAGGCATGGGTACCTTTTCATTTTCATCCTTCGACAACTGGTGCGGTCGTTTGGCCGCCCCGATTGATCGCCTTCTCCGCAGCTGGAGGGGCTCGGGTCGAACAGGCTTCTGCTGCCGTGCCGGCGGGCTGCAATCGGCGACTGCTCCATGGCTCGGGACCGCGCGTGAGCCCTGCCCCCCTCACCGCCGCCGTGTCACACAGCGCTGGGCCGAAAAGGCGTGCAGGTGCGCCCCGACATGCGCGAAGTCCAGATTTCCTGCTCCTCCTCCCCATTCCTCCTCCCCCGCCCTCCAACTACTCCCTGGGCCTCCTCCTCCTCCTCCTCCTCTTCCTCCTCCTCCTCCTTCTCCTCCTCCTCTGCATGGCGTTCCCCCGCCGCCAGGTCAAGCAGCGCTGGTTTGAGCAGGCGTGCAATCGAGTCCCGACGCGCGCGAAGTCCAGACTTCCGTTCGGGGCCTCCCCTCCATTTCTCAAGAGGCCCAGGGACACACGAATAAATGCACACAAATTCCAAGACCCCCTATAATTTCCAATATTTTCTGGGTTTGTGTCTTCCCCCCCACTTCCCATATTTTCCCATAGTTTCGGGGAAGTCGACGATTAATTGTTTCTGTATGTTTTTTCCCCTCCTAAATTTCCCCTGCCTGCAAGGACACTTGCCAGCAGGTGTGAAGAAAGTCTGCCTCTGACACCCGCGCGGTTGCTCTCGCGCAGGGCCCCCAAGCAAGAGCCCGGCGCTTCGCCCCGAGCCGCGCTCTGGCCGGCCAGGTCTCCGATACGGACCTTCGGACTCAGATGCCGAGTTTTGCAGAGTAGAGAGAAAGAGAGAGACGAAAACAGAAGCGAGAGAGAGAGAGAGAGAAACAAAGAGAGGAAGGATGCAGACCAACCCCCACCTGGCCTTGCCTCAGTCCAGTTCAACCCAGGCCCGCCCAGCTCAGCAAACCTTCCTCAGACGCCCCGTCCCCAACCAGAGGGGCCAGAAACTCGGTTGTGCCGCTCTTGCGAGACATCCTCACAAAAGGGTTTCAAGAAACTGGGCCAGCCCAATGAAGAAGGAGGAGGAGGAGAAGAGGGGGGAGGAGGAGGAGGAGGAGGAGGAGGAGGAGGAGGAGGAGGAGGCGGCGGGGATGAGGCGGAGGAGAGGAGATCTAGGGAGTTCTGAGGAGGCGGAGAGGGGGGGGCGGGGGAGGGCGAAGGATTAGAGTGAAGGGGGGAGGAGGAGGAGGAGGAGGAGGAAGAAGGAGTGAGGAGGAGACAGGGATGGAGAGGAGGAGGAGGCGGAGGAGAAGTGGAGGAGGAGGAAGGGGGAGGGGCAGGGGCAGGAGTGTAGGAGGAGAAGGAACAGGAGGAGGAGGACGAGGAGGTAAGGGAAGTGGGAGGAGGAGGAGGAGGAGAAGGAGGGAGGAGGAGAAGGAGGAGGAAGAGGAGAATAAAAAGGGGCGGGGAGGAGGAGGAGAAGAGGGATAGGAGGAGGAGGAGGAGGAGAAGGCGGAAGGAAAAGGAAAGAGGAGGGGGAGGAGGAGAGGGAGGACGGAGGCGGAGGAGGAGGTGGAGGAGGAGGGGAGACGAGGTAAGAGGGAGAGAAGGAGGAGGAGGAAAAGGAGGAGGAGGAGGAGGAGGAGGAGGAGAGGGAGGAGGGGGAGGAGAAGAAGGAGGAGGAGGAGGAGGAGGAGGAGAAGAAGGAGGGGGAGGTCAACTCCCCCAGGCCCGAAGCGCAGCGATCCTTGGGGGGCTCCTTCTGCAAGGGGCGCCATGCAAAGACAACATAGGCGCATCATATTCCTCTTGGTTTTCCCCGGGGGGAACCAAGAGAAAGACGATGCCTTGATATTTCCCCAGGTTTTGGTTCAGATATTTGTTCAAATTGTTTTTTGTCGGTTTAAGTTTCCTGTTGATGAATTTCCGAAGATGTTGGCAGGCTTTCTCGGTGGACCTCCTGTAGTTATAGCTGCCGAGCCTAACTCTTGGTTCCCGGGGGGAAGGTTGGGCGAGATGCGTCTTCAAACACAAATAGTTCTTGCATGATACGAGTGTGTCATGCGGCTGGTTTCCGAAACTCCGAGCTCAAAAACGTTGCCCTCCCCTGGTGGCACATGGCTTGCTTCCGCAGACCTCCGCCGCCTTTTCCGCCCAGCTTCCGCCCGCGGAGGCGGCCTCGTTCTACTTCCGCCGACCTGCTGCCGACCTTCCGCCGCGGAAGAGATGACAACTCCTCCGACCCTCGAAGGAGGCCTGGGCGCTTGGGGCGTAGCGCTGCTTTGCGCGGCTCTTCGTGCCTGGCGCGTCAGTGTCGTAAAGTAAGCTCTGATCAGTTGCAGCGCTGGCGCTTGTCGCCATGTGTTGCTGGATTCTCTGGTTGACTGTTTGAGTGCAAGACGGCTGTCTCTGACATGCTTCGGCGTGCCAGCGCTCAGTGGTTGAGTACAAACCTGGTTGATCCTGCCAGCAGTCATAGGCAAGGCCCGTTCTGGAACGCAGCAAGTAGCGCCTGGCTGGTTGGCTTGCGTTCCCGAGACGCCGCACGCGTGCTGTGGGCCCGTGCCCGCCGCGTGCCCGCCCCATGTGCGCCAGGGCGGGCGCTGCCGGGTCCTCGGCGGGGTCCTGCATCGCGTGGGCCGCACGGTCCACAGGAGTGCGCCACAGAGATTGGCACCTCGAGGAGTGCAGGGCCATGCTGTGGGATCCGCACTGGCAAAGATACACGCCCCACCACGGTTGGAAACAGAAGCCGGGGACGGCGCCTTCTGTCTTGGGCCACTCCCGCCAGCAGTTCTCTCCCGAACGTGTGCCATGGCGCGCCCCTTTACCAGAATCCTACGAGCCCTCTGGGCATCAGTGGTTTCAGGCGTTGGTCTTGGTGTCCTGAGACCGTGGGCACGTAGAAAGTACGGCCTCGGAATCATGAAGTCACATAATCATCATCATCATCATCATCATCATCATCATCGACGGCAGCAGCATCATCATCAACAACATGCACATCGACAACAGCATCACCATCATCACCATCATCACCATCATCAACATCATCACCATCATCCTCATAAGCATCATCACAACAATTCCCATCATCAACATCGGCAACACCATCATACGTACAACCATACCATCGCCGTCAAAACCATCATCAACATCGCCACTACCGTGATATCCTCATCAACATCATTGTCACCGCCACCTCTACCATCATCATCGCCATCACCGTCATCATCATTCTTGCCACCACCACCCTCAACATCACCATCACTCTCACCGCCGCAACCATTGTCACCGTCGTTATCATCGCCACCGCCCGCACCACTGCGAGGCGAAGATTTACTCAGATCCACCGACTGGGGAACCGACCATCTGGGACCTCAGGGGCTGGTGGATCTAAAGATGATTTGGCCCCAGGGGGCCCGAAAACATCCATGTCCACCGCCGTCCACTGTCTCCGAAGATCGCTCACCCAGGCCGTGATTATCGCCAAATCCCCGCCTTGGAATCCCCACCACGGCCACCACGATCACGACGTCGATCACCACAAAATTCATGCCGAAATTGTCAACATCCCAATCCTCATCAATATATAGTGCATATCGTCATTGCGATCATGACCCCAACCATCCTCATCATATCACCGTCATCATCTCCATCGCCACCACCAAGATCACACGGGCATCATCACCATCATCGTCATCATCAGCAGCAGCATCATCGTCATCATCATGTGCATCATCATGAACAGCCTCACCATCGTCATCAGCAACATCATCATCAGCATCATAATCATTAGCATCAGCATCAGCATCATCAGCAGCATCAGCATAGTCATCATCACCAGCATCACCATCAACATCACCATCATCAGCATCATCATCATCGTCATCACCATCATGTGCATCATCATTAGCAGCCTCGCCATCGTCATCAGCAACATCGTCATCATCATCATCATCAGCATCATCATCATCATCAGCATCAGCATCATCATCAGTATCGTCATCGTCCGTATCATCATCAGTATCATCATCAGCATCATCATCATCAGCACCATCCTCACAATAATCAACTCCATCGTTATCGTTAAAATCATCGCCATCAGCATCGTGATCATCGTCGTCGTCGATGCCATCATCGGTACCATCGCCCTCGACATCGGCATCATCTTCAGCATACTATTCACAACCATAATTCTCAACGTCATCGTCACATACATCGTCCGTGTCTTCATCAGCATCATCATCAGCAACATCATCATCATAATCAGCATCATTACCATCAGCATCATCATCGGCGGCATCATCATCATATCATCATACTTTCTATCACCATCGAGGTCAACATCATCATAATTGTGATAAGTGCCCTCATCCTCACCAATTCCCCATTCCCATCATCATCGTCATCAGTATCACCAGTATTCTTAGCATCCTCATTTTCATCATCATTCTAAACATCATCATCGTCATCGTCAACATCACAATCACCATCGCCATCCCCACCACCACCACCACCATCATCATCATCATCAGCAGCAGCAGACTCATCATCAGCATCATCATAGTCATCCTCATGTTCCCCCTCCCCATCCTCAACATCAACATCAACATCATGAACCCCATCAACGACATTACGGCCACCTTCATGATCAGCACAATCATCATCATCATCACCGTAGTCTTCATCATCACTATCATCATCAACACCATCATCATTATCCTCGTAGGGAGGGGGCCGAACGGTCATTCATTGTCCCTGGGTGCGTAGCTGAAGTGGGAATCGTTTGATGTCGTCGTCCCTTCCCACCCATCACCCACCCCGCGACCCACCCCGCGACCCACCCTGCGACCCACCCGCGACCAAATCCGCGACACACCCGCGACCCACCCCGCGACCACCCCGCGACCCACCCGCGACCCACCCGCGACCCACCCCGCGACCCACCCGCGACCCACCCCGCAACCCATGCGCGACCCACCTGCGACCCACCCGCGATCCACTTGCGACCCACGTGCGACACATACCGCGACCCACTCGCGACCGATCCACATTGGTTTTCAGAAAAATTCGGCGCCTGCGGCGGGATCGTTGTATAATTTGTGAAACTTTGGCGCCTGCGGCGGGCTTCTCCAGGGTTTCCGACATCCCCACCGCCCCCTCACT